CAATGGCGTCTTAAGAAATATAGAACTATATAAACTTACGCAATCTGAAATTAACGCGCTAGATTTGGCGCGCTGTTAAATCGGCGCGTTTGCTAGATTTGGCGCTTTTGCGCATACATTTTCGCTGCAATTTTTTTACGGCCCTCAAAACAGAATACTATCAAGTTTTCTACAAAAAATAGCATGCTTTTAAAAAGCGATCAATTCCACATCAAAGTTGATTGTCGGCATAAGGGTGATTTCATGAGAGGCAAAGAGTCCAAAAAAATATAGAGTAATTCAAAGTTTTAGTCAGAATTCTGGAATAGGATTTCTTTGCAAAGTATTATCGAGGGAATTATAATCTAACACTTAAAATACAGAAATTAGAAAATTATAAGAATTACGCAGATTTATTTTACGTTCTCAAAATCCCCTACGAAATAGAGTCGTGGAATTTCGTTTTATGCATAGTTGCTGCAAAATTATTAACAGTTATCTAACAGTAAAAAACAATTAATATCCCTTCTAATGATGTTTGACTTAGTTGAGTGTTATAGAATGGAATTCATCAGAAAATCGTACAATTCACAGTCTGGGTTCAGAAATATGACTTATTTTAATAGTTCTGTTATTACATGCTGTTTCGGAGCAACAAATTGCTTAGATTACCTTTTTTACTTTATTTAATATAGCAGCATATTTGATTTTTACATAAAGAGTTGTGTCGATGATGCATGTATATGGATACAAGCTTAATGAGTCTACTTATTTTTTTAAAACACATAGTAACCAGGATGATAAATCGTAAGAGAAACAAATAAACTTTTTTTGTAACTCATTTTTGCTGATGAGTCTGCTTCCACTTGATTTGCTGCTGTCATTTAGTGAGACTATCTCATACTTATGGTTAGTTGTGCCTTTATGTCCTTGAAGCTGGTAATTATCTTTGGGTTTAAGCTAAAGTCTGCGGCGTAGAAACCGCATATTGTACTACAATGCAAAAGTGCACTTCAGTTTCCGCAGACAGTATTTCTGAGGGCGCGCAATGATTAGTTGCCGATTACCGCAGTACCACTTAAAAACATCCTCGGATAATCAGTATTTTACTAATAATTTCAATTGTATGTTTTCATTAAGAATACTTATTGCAATTGTAAAGCAGTAATTAATGTGCATGGGATATCAATAGTTTTTTGAAAATCTGTATTTTGATAAACCTAAAACATTTCACAGCAGCGGCAAAACTCAATTGCGTTGGAACATTCTGACATTTATCTTTCTACTTTGTGCATTAGAAATCATTGTTTTCTTAAACATAATCAGTGTAATTATTTTTATGAATATGAAAGGAATCATCTACTTCTGCTATGAGTTTTTCTACCCTGGTAATAAAGAAACGGTTAAAATTGTAAATTTCTTGTATAACTGGAGGCTTTTCCATTTTTACTAGCGTAAGTTATTTGATGTGCTTACTCACACCATTGACACATCGTGCTAATGCACCCAAGTTGAGAAACTGCACAAAACAGAAACAGAGATTTTAAGAACCCTGAGCAACATTCTCACTATCGCAAGATGCAACTTGAAAAAATATATATATATATATATAAACCTTAATATTCCGATAAAAGAAAAGAACAGTACTGAAAGCAGTTTACTGAAGGACTCCATTAAAATGAAAACAGAATATTTGACATCGAAACTGAATATTCGAAGGGACACAAAAGTCTTAAAGCCTGATTTCAGTTTCTCAAGGGAAAGTTTACATTCTTTAACCACCACTGTTAGGTTTTCACCTAAGTTAAGAAGTTTTCGATGTTAAAAACACTTTTATTGGATTTAATGTTTCCTCGATTTCTTCAAATGCGAATTTTTTTCTTCTCTTCTCGAAAAAAGAACTGCAGTAGCTCGCTGTTTCTTTGTTCTTTCTAAGTAACTTTAGAGGAGTTTCTCAAATTTATTGGAAAGCTTTATTCTTGGGTTTTTGAGTACTCTACAAAGCCATGATCTTTAGCTGTTTAATTTATTCGTCTCTGCAACAACTCCATATATTTCATGCGTGGCCTTCACACAAAGTTATTACGTTACTGCCCATGAACACTACTGTTCTTAAAAAGGAATGTAATGACAACTTTTATTTTTCACAATATATGAAGTTGATTATATAGATCAATTGGCTTTGTACTAAGCGTAATACTCTGCATTTACATGAGATGGGCAAAATGTTTTGCTAAGTCGAAATGATGTCATACAAATTTCGGCTTTAATATCTTCATAATGAACCTGTATATTGAAAACCTCTTAATGGATTTCGTGCCATAATGACTCCATGTATTATTTCTTAAGCTTTGTAAGTTGAATATATGACATCATGTGTGTCATAAGTTCAACATTTATGGCCATATGGACAAATGACATTGGACATTTATGAAAAATGACGCGGAAATTAAGACATATGCATGGTGGCATTTCAGCATCATTTGTCCATAAATTCCGGAGTTACGCAAATGAGAACTTAACAGATTCTATATGTAAATTAGCTTTGAATATTTCACACTCATTGTGACTGAACAGAAATTTTGATTATTAATCAGCAACGTGTAAAGATATTTCTAATTCGTGTAAGACATCAGCAATTTTGGCAGTGGACGCATTGAAGTACTTCCACGTACAAGCACATTTAGTGCTTCTTTCAGTAGCTGGAGTGCTTCTATGGTTGAAAGAATATGCAGAGAACGATTCGAAGAACGGTGTAATACACGAAGATAATGTCTTGAACATCGTACGCAAGCAACACAGTGAGATTATCGTCGTCATCAGGATGTCTTTGGCTGATTATTCTATATGTTATCAACAGTATTGATGCAGTAATGACGAATAATAACACATTCGCCAATATCATATCCAGTACATCACCATTTATGTTATGAAATTCTAGCAAGTTGTAGAGGCATTAGATTTTCCTGAAGCAGAAGAGTTAACACATATGCAATGTCCTCGTCGGGACTCGAATTCTCGAATGCACGTCGAGTATGTATCCACTTACACCACAAAGGCATGCGGAAAGGAGAGAGAAATTCCTTATAAATCTAACTTTTTCTTTTTCTCTACTTGTGATTCATCAACAGTTAAGTGCCAGATTGCATTGTTGCATCAAGCATAATGTGCGGCAGATCAAGCAACACAATACCATTTTCACTGACGAATCATGTTTTAGGTAGACGAAAATGACAACCTTATATGTGTTCGAAATAGCTACAGGAGAGATGTCGAAAAAACTGTATTCCTAACCAGCATACGACGCCAACAAGGTGCACTCTGTTGGTGTGCTATCATTGAATTTAAATATGAAGACTTTCGATGAGCCTTAATAAGTTTAACGGAATTTAGACTAGTCATACATTAGAACTTGTAATGTTCCTTACGAATAAATTTACAGCAGGACAATGCCACACCTCGTACTGCAACAAAAAACTCCAGATTTCTTCGGAGTTAAGGTTCTTCTTTAGCTGCCTAAATGACCTGATTTATCATCCATCAAAAATAAAGGGATGATATTCCTATGGAAAATTTCGATGAAATTTGGACGTGAATTAACATTTTGATCAATTAAACCTTTGAAATGTACGAAACAGATATGTTCTGTACATCTGCTTGAATTGTACTTTTAGTATATACCTCAAGGGGTTAAATGCCATGGGAAGAGATAAAGCAATACAAGTTAAAGAGAGACACACAGAATACTAACTATGTCAATATACATGATACGCATTTTGTCTAAACGCTAAAAATTTATTCTTTATTGTTTGCTTAGATAGCCTGCAAAAAATTGCAGCTGCACTTCTAATTTTTTAAAAACTTTTAGCAATAGTAAGGTGTTTTACTCCTTGCCTATTTCTCAAGCCCCCCCCCCTCAACGACGGGAGATTTTGCTAGGTAAGTAATCGAGAGAAAAGACTGGACCGATCGATCATTTAACCGTTTGATCACCGAGGACGTTGCCCAGAATGAACAACAGGGTATGACTGATTTTATGTTGGGAAAAAAGTGGGAGCTCCGTGCCAATACTGATGAAGAATACGTTGAAGGACAAATTCGAGGGCCTCCACCGCTTTTTCCTACCACGGAGTTTCTTGAGAGGACTCTTAGCTCTCCAGTATTTTAAGTGCTGTTCTGCCGCAAAGACACTACACACTTATATTCATCTAAACCAGCGATTCTCAAACTTTTGATTAATGCGTACCATCTAAACAAAAATTGAAAACTTTTAGTACCACGACTACAAAGTACTACTACCACCACCACTCTTGAACAAAGCTCAGATCGCATGAATTTAAGAGTGTTAGAGAAAAAACGCAATCAGGATGTTGAGGTTTCAATTTTTGAATTTAATAGTTAAAAATACTTTGCTTCTTTGCGTACCACCGGTTGAGAACCCCTAATCTAAACCTTCTCCGACACTTAAAACCAGCATCGCTAACCATTATTCCGCCCAGGGCGGCTTTAAGATCTCTGAAGATGAAACTTCATGTTAGGTGTAAACTATTTAATATACAGGTTATGCTTAATTAATGTTTAATACTGAAGGGTTAAATTGGGACGTCACTGATACGTAAACCGTTTACATTTTTTGTTTCGATATATAGTTTTATAAAGGAGACATTAAAGCTAGAAACTCTGAACGTCCTTTCCACTTAAATTATTTCGCCCATCTTGTAAAAACATACGGCCTTAAAACCCTTTACCAATATACGAAGTACCTTTACCAATATATATATATGTATGTATACAGAGTGTTTCAAAACTTATCGTTCAAATTTCGTGGGGAAGTAGGGAAGACGTCAGGAAATCGGTTTCACATAGGAAAGTATGTCCGCAAACGTCATCTATATGAACAAAATGGACAAGGAAAGTTAACACAAGGAAACAGTATAGTTAAGTGGTAACGATGTGACCTTTATTCCAATAAGGTAAAGTAAAGGCTTACAGTAGGTGCTCAAAATTGCGACCATTTATACGAACATAGAATTCACAGCGCCGTTGCATTGACCGCCAAATTTTTCAAAAACGTCTGGCTTATCACGGACAGTTTTTGCGGCCACGATTCGTGCAACAAAGTCCATTCCACTGTCGACAGAAATCTCGTACACATGCTCTTTGATGGTACCCCACAAAAAGAAACCCGTGGCCGATAAATCAGGTGACCTGGGTGGCCAAGCGGTCGGTTCACCTCTGCCGATCCATCGAGCGTCGAATGTTCGGTTCAGGTAATCACACATATCAGTTGTGTTATGGGCTGGAGCCCTATCATGTTAATACCACATATCTCGGCGGATATGTTCAGGAACAGCGCCCAGAAAAGTCGGTAACACAGTCTCGAGAAAGACTAGGTATTTCCGGCCGTTCAATTGGGGAGGTAGCTAGTAATGTCCAAACAAACAGTCATCAATGATTCCAGCCCATACATTTATGGCAAAACTATGCTGTCGAGCGTGACTACTCGTAACATGCGGGTTGTCGCAAGCCCACACATGTGAATTATGTGTATTGAACACACCTTCACGGGTGAATGATGCTTCACCTGTAAAAAGAAACCGGAAAAATGGGGTCCACGGCCCCTTTCTGTATGAATCATTGTGCAAATTACACACGCTTCGGATAATCATTAGTATGCAGGAACTGCCCCCTTTGCAGATGGTAAAGATGCACACGGTCCTCATGCAGTATCCGCCATACTGTTGAGTGAGAGACCCCCAAGTTGCTGAGCAATAGCTGGTATGCTGGCATTCGGATTATCTTTCGATGGCCTGTAAGACTTGTTCTGCGACATTGACAGTCCGCGTCAGTTGTCTTCTCTACTATCCTGCATGTTGTTACGCAGTGAATCACGTTCGCACAGATTGTGATGCACATATGCAAACATTTGATGCTGCGGTATTCTTCTGTTGGGGTATCGGTGTTTGTAAACTAGTCTAGCTCGGCAGATTTGCAGACACACTTTGTGTTCTATTGTGAAATCAGTTCTCTGATGTCTTCCCTATCTCCCCACGAAATCTGAACCATAAGTGTTGAAACACACAGTAGAATGCAAATTAGCATTGAATTACCAAGGATAAAGTAATTCAATGCTAATTTGCATTCTATTGTAAAGTTACTTGCTCGAGGAATCCGTGAAGTGTTCCTTTAAACTAATATTATTCTCTATGGTTATTCCTTTCGTTTTAAATGTGTATCTGAAAACGATATACATATAAATCTGACAGCAATTGGTACTGAAATATCTCGTTGATATGCCTTTCTTGTTTGTTTTCAATACGAAGCTAAAAAATTAGAAGCGATATCACAAAAGTTTTTAAATTGTTATTTACAATAGAAAGTTTTCAAATTTTTTATTTTTTTATGAAAATACAGGGCTATGGAATCTAAGTTGTTACATCTTGCATTTTCAAAATTTGGGCAAAATATGAAGTTTCGGTTTTTATATCAGCGTAGTACGTTGGAAACCTGTAAACGGTGTGTCACAATGACGCCCCTTTTTTTATCGCTCAAGCATTGTAAAAATACGATGCTATATATTTAGTTAACGTTCTCGATAAGCAGATAAGTTTTTGACTTAGATAATGAGAATTATCATACTTACCTAAATTATGAATTTCATATATAGTTTTGTGTACATAATTTAACATATTTTAAAATTGCAAAACTTTAACGACACTCTACACAGAGTAGCTTTACAAACGCACTTATTGAAAACATACTACAAAATGAATTGTAGGATATGCGTAGTTCATATTTTCGAATCTACTGTATTGTTATTGCATGAAGACATTTATGACATGTTCCTTTAAAAGGTTTGTTCAGATAAGACCGAACGTTTTAATTTCCAAACCAATGGCTGCAGGTGGCATGCTCCGACCAGCGGCTTATTTTGGTAACAAAACGCTTTTTTATGGTTTCCGATCTACATGTTAATTGCCGAGTAACAACCGAGTGAGATCGTGCAAAGTCACTCGTCGGATTAGTGAAAAACCAAAAGTGAAACGAGTTGGAGGAACAGAACGTTTCTCTGAAATTTTGCATAAAATTCGGGAAAACTTTCACGTAAGCATCCCAGATGCTACAGCAAACACACAAAGGTGATAGCATGAGCCAAACGCTGTAATATAATTGGTTGCAGCGCTTTAAAGAAGGCAGAAGTTCGGTTGTCGAATGTGCAAGATCTGGATGACCTGCAACTTCAACAGACGACTAATATGCTCAGAATGCATTAACAAATGCTACCACGTGGACAAACAAGGAAAAGAAAAGTCATCAATCTACCACAGAATTTTAACACGACTGAGCGACTGAGAAATGTTATGTATAGGATGAGACATGAACTGTGGGGGAAATCAGGCATGGATGTTGCATCATGTCAACGCTTCAGTTGAAGCATCCCTTTTTGTTACCAGTTATTTGACAAAATATAGCATTTCTAATGTGCAACACCCACCGGACATTCTACAGACTCCCCTCAGCAAGCTTTTTTTCCTTTCCCAAACTTAGAAGTACTTTGAAAGGACTTTATTTCCAGTCAATAGAGGAAGTTCAGAAAAATGCAAACACCTAAGGTTTAAGAAGGTGTTTGTACTGCACGTTATCAAACAAATTGTCTCTCAGCAAGCAATCCAAAAAACGTAGTAAAACGGATTTCTCATTTTTACTACAAGGATTACTTTGAAGGGGACAACGGTTAAAAATTTATATGATGAACAATAAGGCAAGAAAAGCTAAAGTTCGGCCCTTTTTTTAACCAGTCCTCGTATTGTTCTTTCAAAACGTATTGGATATGAAGATTTTCATCATTTCTGCACTGCTTTCCGGTTATTAAGCGCTATAAATCCTAAAAGTGTGCTTATGCTTCGGCACCTTATTAGAGTTCATATTAACTGAACTTTCTTCCCTTCATGATATCAGCATAGGTTTCCACAGAAATCTCGTCTTTGGCTTCTTGAATTCATTCAGAAAGTGTAGTTAGAAGAATTTCTCGAAAGAACACTTTAAATTGAATTCAGCAGTTTAGATGGTTTAATTATAGGATTAACAATATTACTGCTTTTTTCTACAGAATTATCGGGTACGACGGACCATTAAGTGCAGGATTACCGTATTTTTACAGTATATGGTATCAAAGCCAGCATATTAATTTTGTATTGATGCCGAAAGAGAAACTTTTAAGTCACAGATCTTTGATACAAGCTTTCTGAAGATTTTTCTTAGTTGGAAAACCCTAAAATGGCCATGATTACTTCTTATGGTCCTACATTTATTCTATTCTCAATTTTTTAATCAGAGTACGAAACTTCTTTTATCACAAAAAAAAAAAAAATCTGTCAGAACTATCTGCTAACAATGATAACAGATTGCAGCTATGAGTTATGGTATCAATTTTCGTAAAGATAGGGCCTCTAAAACGGGCTTCGAATCATCTCGGCAACGTCTACAAATTGGCAAACCTAAGTGACCTGTTGATTGCATCGTAATTAGAGGCTCTTGTAAGCAATTCAGCCGGCAATTTCATCAGCCAGCATTCAACTGTATGGTTTCTAGCAGTATATATCTTGATAGGCTTCAGCTGAATTGCATAAATGAATTTCTAGATTCCTAGTAGTGGGTTTATTCATGTCTTTGGTCCTTTTTAGATGACAAGTATGCTTTCCTTGCGATTATGTATTTAAATATATGTACAACTTCGACAGAATAGTGGAGTAAGTTATTGTATTGTAATATAAATACCAATTTAGAAAGAAAAGTTTACTCTGCACTATTAAAATTTCCGGAATTTACAGAAATACGATATAACACGAAGAAAAGATTTATTTAGAGTTAGTGGTATATTTTCCCGAAATACTGGACAATTTTTGCTTTTAATTCAGGTTTTTTTTAAGGTTTGAAATTATATATATTATAGCTGAGGCATATTTTAAAAATTGTATTATTGGAATCCTAAAGTAGTAAGTTTAGAGGACTATTTTATTATTTACCAAATTTACATGATATTCAAACAACCAAGTGCTTAAAATGAATAGAGAAGATTATCTATATAAAATACTTTTCTTTCTAATTTTTAGTTACAAGTACACTTTTTATCAAACATCCATAATAAAGCATACGAAAAAAATAATAAAAAGGTTTTACTTCCAAATCAAGAAACCCGAAAGAAATATTATCTTAAATACATAAAACCAAGCTTTTTTTTAATGAAAATAAACTTCACATTCATTCAAACTGCACACTAAAATTCCCATTCATGCATTCACAAATATAAGATCTATTGTATAGGATGGGTGATGATATGTGTGTTATCGCATTCTATAATAGTATTATGTTATAAGAAGGGTTTGAAAATCAATTCTTCAAACTGATGGGCAGTATATATATATATATATATATATAAAACCTTTATTGCCTTAAAATCTTTACATGGTCACCTATTACTATTTCTAGGTACATTATGCAATGAGCACATCTCACTAATATTATCAACGTCTTCCTCTGGACTGTCATAAAAATTATAATATCTAGTTTTTGTGTTGGAAAATTATTATCAGTTACCATAACATGATCGTTGACGCTAAATGGTGTGATACTTTTGCCTCAGAGAACAGTTGAAATGTAAAACGAATCTAGTAAAATAGACCGCATCTATTCTGAATTCACTTAATCGCTTAGTAATTCCAAACAATGAAATCAATCTTATGAATAAAGAAATACCCAGAAAAATGAATTAAGATAGGAATTTTGTTAAATATCGTACTTCTAGGAAATACATATACAAATTGCATCAAGAATATGGGCACCATCAAGTGAATACGATTATAAACAGTTCTGCTAGGGTGCTTAAAATAACCTACCGCGCTAATGCAGGGTTAAGAAAGATTTAAAGTAAGCCAAAGTTTCAGAGGACTGAGATCAAATTTGAAGCAAATTTACAATGAATTCACAATTGGTAAACAACAGCGTTGAAACCTTTAGCGAGAAGAATAATCAATCGAAGTTTCAAACTTACATATTGTCGTATTTTTTAAAAAAAATGCGAGTGGTGAAGTCGCTGAAACCTGGCTATTCGAATGCTGACAACGGGCTGGATGCGTTTTCGTGTTTTTTTTTTCCATTTCTCCATTGGTAACGTGTATACGAGCAAGTTTCCCTTCCAAAGCCCTTCTTTTAGGAGATGGTCCTCGAGTGCTTTGCCTGATCAAATACACCAACCAAACCAAACCAAGCGTTTTAAAAAACT